ATAGAGATATATATATATATTTTTTTTTTTTATATATATATATATATATATATATATATATATATATATATATATATATATATATATATATATATAATTCTCTCTCCTTATAAATATATATTATCTTAAGCATTGTGAATATGATAGGAAATCATAATCTTTCATAAAAAAGAAGCTCACAAAAATTGATACAATATTTACAAAGAAATCACATTTTTTTAAATGCTTTTTCTTGGTCAAAACAGATAAATTTGGGTGAAATTTTAAATGAATGTGATTTAAATATATATTATTTTAAAGTATAATTTCAATTTAAATAAGTAGTAAGATACTATTAATTTCAGGGATCACTATTAGTTATGGTTATTCAAATAAGATTTTAAAATATACATTTGTGCACTTTTTTGAGCTTGCCTTGACCTACAGTTTTAAATGATTGACCTCAGATTTCATTAATCTGATTCTTATATCCTGCACATAACTAAAATTATTTCACTTTTTCATCTACTACATGTTATTCATTTATATTTTTATGTCATAACAAATTTGCATTCCATAATATTTAATTTATCAACAAACAGAAATTTGTTAAAATAAAGTTTAACAAATAATCATCAAAATTATTTATAACATAAAAAGTTGAGCATATAAAGTGAACCAGTTGAGAAAAATAAAATGAAAACTAACTATTTTCTAAAATATAATTTTTGTCAAGGTACAATAAATTACATGTAACAAAAATTAAACATTCTTTGAAATGATAAATTCTAAATACGATTACTAAATTTTAACAAAGTAAAGAAACAAATTTTAACAAATTAATGCAATATTTGATATAGATGTCAAAATATAATCAATTTATTCCAGTGAACTCATTACTAAGCCAAAATTTTGCAATCAAAATTTTGAAATTGATTGAATGATGGATCTTACTGTGTAATTTTTAGTGGTTAAAAATCCTAAAAATAAAATTATTTGGGCGATTTGGAATTAAACAATTCTAACAGCTTAATTTGTGTTCTTTCAATGTAGATTTTTTTTTTTAAACATAATGTTAAGTCCATTTTAAATAATGACCTGATTAAGGACAGAACATTGTACCGTACATTACAAAGTTAACTATAAATGTGGTTTTGGATGACTTAAACTTAAATAAACTTACTAACTTAGTGTTCTGGTTTTTTGTGTTTCTTTTTTTACAAAAAAGTATTTTGTATTAATTTTTGTACAAAAGAAATATATGTATCTAAGCATGGGCGCCCGCAGAAAACTTTCTAGGGGGGGGGGGGTGGGGAAACCAACACAAAATGCATGACGTCATTATTTAATCCCCCCCCCCCTTTCCCCCAAAATGATTAACAAGATGTGAGTACCGGCACCATTTTTTTAAAGAAAAAAATAATATCCACTACCAACAAGAGTAGAAACTATCAAAAAACATTTTGAAGGAACATTTACTAGACTTTTTTTATTCTAACTAGCCTTCAATGGCTACATGGGATATATGCAAACATATTTTGATTGCGCCTAATTAAAATCATTTTCTGACTTGAATGACCCATTCCTACAGTCATAGGATTCCACCTGATTTTAGCCACTTAGTTTCAATTATATTTGTAAAGTAAGACAATCACTGTCGTAGGAAGGGGGTTGCAGAGAAACCGGTCCGCCCCGGGCGGCACTTTTCGTCTATATACTGAGGGGCCGCATTTTCGTCGAACTACAACGTTTTTTCGTGGTCGCTGCGGCAAAAATCTTTGCCCGCCCCGGGCGGCATTAAACCTAGCTACGCCACTGAAGACAATGGAAAATTATTTTGATTTGAGCAAATAAAAAATTTGATTGAGCATTGCATTATTTTCTATTGCAACAGTCATCTCTTTAAAAAATAATCTTCCTTTAAAAAAACCTTGCTGCATTCATCAAACAATTTTACTAGATCACATTAAAATGGGGTGTGAGAAAATGTAAGCTTATAATTTATGCTTGTTTTTCTTTCCTTTTTTTTTTTTTAGAAAATAAAATATGATGTAAATATTTTCACTGTGTGAGATACTACATAGTCATTTTTTTTTTCATCTGAGTTTGAAACTATGCACTTACTTACAAAGTATTTTCTGCTCAATGTCTATAAATAGCAATATAAAAATTAAATAGCTATGTATATTCAAAATGAGCTGAAGTTTTTAAAAATATTTACATTTCAGTAAATTATGTAAGATCCTAAGATATACATAAACTTAAATTTTTGGAAGTGGAAATTAATCATTTAATTAGTGTACAATTTTAAAATACAGTATAAAATGTAAGATTGGTAAAATATTAATTTTTAAAAGACTTGCTTACTTAATGAACAAACTTTTTAGGTTACTAAAAGAATAAAGCTATTACTATTAGTAATAAATTAATGTACATTGGAGTTACAAAGGTCTATCAACCACAAAAATATCCTCTATTTCCTTGTGAAGGACTTTTTCCACCATGATTTGATCAGACCAGAATAAACTAAAAATTGTGTTGTCCCTCAATAAACTAAAAATTGTGTTGTCCCTCAAGGGCTAGATGCATCTAGTGCTGTTTTTTAATTCTTTACACATATATATATATATATATATATATATATATATATATATATATATATATATTTCTCTCTCTATATATATATAT